AAGCTGCTATAAACATTCATTTAGACCTAAAGTTTTTGTTTGAACATAAGTTTTCATTTCTCTGGGATAAATGCTCAAGAGTGCAATTACTGAATCATAGAGTATATGCATGTTTAGTTTTGCAAGAAATTGTCAAATTATTTTCCAAAATGGCTGGACCACTTTTCATTCCCTCCAGCAATATACGAGGGACCCAAGTTCTCTGCATCCTTATCCATAATTGGCATTGTCACAGTACTCTGTTTTAGCCTTTCTGATATTGTATCTCATTATGGTTTTATCCATTAGGTGTCTGGGGGTCTGAAGTAATATTGGTTTCATATCATGGTATTGGTAATGTGTGTCCTTTTTCACAAAAATCTGTCTGTCTTCCTAGATGCTTGTTAATTTTATTGATCTTTTCAAAGGACTGGCTTTCTGTTTCATCAATTTTCTTAATTGTTTCTCTGCTTTTAATTTCTCAGAATGTCACCTCTTATTTAATTGTTTCCTTCCTTATTCTTGCTTTGTGTTTATTTTTCTCTTATTTTCCAATCTTCCTAATATAAAATCTTAGATTATTTATTTGAGACTTAAAATTTTCTAATGTCAGCGTTTAATACTAGAAATTTCCCTCTCAGCACTGTTCTAGCTGTGTCCCATACATTCTGACATGTTGGGTTTTGTGTGTGTGTATGTGTGTGTGTGTGTGTTTTCATTTTTATTCAGTTCAGTGTATTTTTATGTCCTTTGGGACCTCCTCTTTGACCCATTCATCATTTAGAATGTGTTTCTTAGTCGCCAAGATTTAGAAATTTCCCTGTTATATTGGTTTTTGATGCTAATTTTATTCCACTGTGGTCAGAAAACACATTCTGAATGCTTTTAATTCTTTTACATTTGGTGCAGTTTGCTTTATAACCCAGGATATGATCTGTCACAGTAAATCTTTTGAGGGTTCTTGAAAGAAAGTGAATTCTGCTGTTGTTAGTGAATTCTGCTGCTAGTGATGTGTTCTAGAAACATCAATTAAATCCTGTTGGTTGATGGTGGTCTTGGGTTCTATCTCCTTGCTGATTTCTCTCTAGTTGTTCTTGCAGTTGTTTTAAAAAGGAGGTGTTGAATTCTTCAATCATAATTCTAGATTTTTCTTCTTTAATCTTATCATTTTTTGCCTCACATATTTTGCAGCTCTGTTGTGTGGTGCACACACATGTAGGATTGACAAGACTTTTTGATGGATTGACGCCTTTATTATGTAATGATTATCTCTGCCCCTGGTGATTTTCTTTGGTCTAAATTATACTTTATCTGATATTAATATAGCCATTTAAGCTTTATTTTGATTGATGTTTGTGTATTTTTTTCTTTTTTTTTTTTTAATACTTTCAGGCTATTCATATTGCTATATTTGAAGTGAGTTTCTTATGGATTGCATATAGTTGAGTCATGTTTTAATCTACTCTACCAAGCTCTGTCTTTTAATGGGTGTATTTATATCATTTACATTTAATGTGATTATTGATATTTTAAAACTTAAGTCTGGCACTTTGGTTTTTGTTTTCTTTTTTTTTTTTTTTTTTTGCTGTCTTCCTGAGGGTTATTTTGAACATCTTTCAGGCTTCCATTTTTATTTACCAATAGTATTTTTGAGTGTACTATTTGTATAGTATTTTTGGTGATTTCTGTTGATAATAAATTATGCATACATAACGTGTCACAGCATCATGGTTTCACTAGTACTAATAAAGTATAGAAAAATTACCTTCCTCTCTGTCCCTTTATCTTCCTCCTGTATAATATGTCTTAAATATTTTCTCTATATGCATTATAATTCTTGCTTTAATCATAAAATATAAATAAGAAAACTCAATAGAAAAAGTAAAATCTATAGGATTTTTACTCTTTCTCTATTTCTTTCTTCCTTTGTTCCAAGATTCCTTCTTTTATCATTTCTTTTCTATTTAGAAAAATATCATTTAGCCATTCTTTTAGATTAGGTCTACTGGCAACAAATTCTCTTAGATTTTATTCATCTGAGAATATCTTGATCTCCCTTTCATTCCTAAAGTTTATTTTCCCTAAATCTAAAATTCTGTGTTTCATTCCTAAAGTTTATTTTCCCTAAATCTAAAATTCCAGTTCTTTCACTGGATACAAAATTCTGGGTTGAAAACAATTGAAAAATATTGTCTCTCTTCCTTCTGGTTTCTGATTGGCTTCTAATGAGAAATCCACTGTTGTTCAAATTGGTTTTTACCTACAGAGAAGTTTGTTTCTCTCTTGATGTTTTCCAGATTTTTTTTTGTTTTTGTTTTTAGTTTTCAGAATTTTATTGAGTTTGTCCTTTTTGGCATTTTCTCAGCTTCTTGAATCTGTGGGCTTATGTCCCTTTCCCAATCTGAGGGCATGTCATCGGTTATTCACTTGAATATTTTTAAACACCACTCTCTCTCATCTCTCTTTCTGAGACTCTGATAGCACAAATGTCAGATCTTTTGTTATAGCTCCCACACATCTCTGAGATTGGTTCATTTTTTTTTCGTCCATTTTCTTTCTGTTTTCTGTGTTGGGAAATCTCTATTGTTCTTTGTTCAAGTTCAAGTTCTTTCTTCTGTCATCTTCTTTCTGCTGTAAACCCATCAACGTTTATTAATTTGTTAGTTAATTAATTAGTTAGTTCATTAATTAGCTATCATATCTTACAATTCTAAAATTTCTATTTGGTTCTTTTTATATCTTCTATTTAATTTTTTTTTTTTTGCAGAGTCTATTTCGTTGCTGAGAATTTCTATGTTTTTCAACTATTTTAAGCTTGCAGAAACATTATTGTGATGCCTGGTTTAAAATCCTTGTCATATAATTTCAACAGTTGTTTCATCTTGGTATTTTTATCTGTTGATTGCCTTTTCTCATTCAAGGTGAGAATTTTCTGTATCCAAATATGACAGGTGGTTTTCTATTGTATCTGGATATTTTGGTTTCTGTGTTATGAGATGCTGTATCTTATTTAAACAATTTGTTTTAGTGGGCCTCCTCTGACATCATGCCGATGGGAAAGGGAGGCACTACTTCATTACTGTCAACCGGGACTGGACGTCCATATTTCCTGCTGAGCACAGTTGACGCTCCAGGGAAGATGCCTGGATGTTACTGGCTGGCTGTGGGTGGTCAGGCTCACCACTAGCTTCTACAGATAGTACCCGGACTTAATGGGGAGGAACACCTCCTCCTGACGTGGCCTCCACTGACACCATGAGGGTGCAATGGAGTCGGGGCTCGTTAGCTTTGGGAAGGGATGAAAGTTCTGGCTTCCCACTCCACCTTCATGCTTCTACCCCAGGGGTGAGGTGGGCAATGAATTACAGCTTCACAACGGTGGACATTTAGGCTCACCACTCTCCCTTGCTATCAGGGTGGGGATTCAGTCACAGTTTTGTCTTTGGTGTTTGGCTGCAGTAAGGAGGGAGGTTACTGTCTGAAAGTTTTCTATCTTGCTGGGCTCAGCCTTTTCTTATCCTTTGGCTTGAGAAAGTAGACTTCTGTTAGGGTTTTTTCGGTCTGTACCCACTGGAGTCCCCAGGTCTCTCCCCTAGCAGTTAGGGATGTGAGGCAACAAGAAAATCCCAGGGGACTCACCACAGTGCCATTCCTCAGGTCCCCGGGTACCTAGTAGTTCTCCCTCCTGCTTTCCACCTTTCAGGCCCTTCCAGTGTTTATTTAGTATATGATGTCAGGGTTTTTAACTCAGCAGGAGTAACAAGCAGAAGTGCATTTCCTCCAGATCATCCCCAGAGCTGGACTGGGCTTCTCTCAATATGGTTTCAATTGCATTTCTCTAATTGCTAATTATATGATGCATCTTTTTATGTGCTTATCTGTCATTTGTATATCCTCTTTGGTGAAATGTCTGGTCTTGTCTTTTGCCCATTTTCTAGTTGGATTATTTAGGGTTTTTTTTAAGTGTTGAATGTAGAGAGTTCTTTGTATAACCTACATACAAGCCCTTTGTCAGATATACGGTGGGCAAATATTTTTTCCCCATCTCTAACTTGACTTTTCATCCTCTTAACAGACTCTATATCAGAGCAAAATGTTTAAATTTTGATGGAGGTAACTTTTTGTGTGTGTCAAGTTTTGAATACTCAGACCCCACAGACTAAGGGGATCCAGGTAGGTAGCTGTCACACTTAAATATCAGAATCATTTAAGAATGATAATGAGATTTAGGCAATTATAAGAGCTATAACTTCTGAAATATATGAACTTCAAATTTCTTAGAAATATTTTGCTATTTAAAATTAATCAGCTTATTTAGGAGGAAAGAAGAAAGTAAGACGTGAGGGAGATGAAGAGGTACAAACTTCCAGTTGCAAAATAAATGAGTCACGGGGATGAAAGGTACAGTGTGGGGAATATGTCAATAACTATGTGATATCTTTGTATTACACATTGTAACTAGACTTGTGATCATGTTGAATTGTGAACACTAAATCACTATGTTGCATAACAGGAATTAACACACTTTTGTAGGTCACTTATACATCAAAAACAAACACACTCATAGAAAAAGAGATCAGATATGCGGTCACCAGAGGCAGGAGGTGAGGGGAAAGGAAACCGGATGAAGGCAGTCAAAAGGTACAAACTTCCAGTTATAAGATAAATAACTGACCGCTAGAGCTGGAACATCACTCTTCTGCCTTTGGACTGGAATTTATATCCTTGACTCTCGGGTCATCAGGTGTTTAGACTCAGACTTGGAACCACATCACTGGCTTTCCTGAGTCTCTAGACTGCAGACAGAAGACTATGGGACTTCTCAACTCCATAATGGTATATGCCAATTAGTTACATTTATTATAATAAATCAATAACTCTCTCTCTCTCTCTCCAATAGATATCTCCTATTGGTTCTCTAGAGGATCCTGCCTAATGTGAAAAATATAGTTTATAAAAAAGTAATAATGTCTATGATTAATGATAGCCATTAATATGGGACTTTGAGCTCCAAAGTCATTTCACAAAATCATTGTTATCTGAAGGATAATTTGATTCCTAGAGCAAAATCTTCTCTCTGTGAAATAATTTTTAATACAGCCTCACATGTCTAATATATCTACTGAGAATAAAATTTTGGGGGGTAGATTGTACCTCTGGGAATTCAGTATTTCTCCCTGGTTGTGACTTAAAATTGTGTTTGCTCAGCAGTCCCTATTGGTGTCTCCCAACTCCAAATGACTAATAAAGAGCTAGAAAAAGACAAAAAATCACCATGAATAATGGGACTGACAGGACTTTCAGATTAAGATGGTTGAGTAAAGGTATTTGTGCCTATTTTCTCCAAAAAAAAAAAAATAGCTGCCTGAGAACAATGTAAAGTGATGGATCATGCTGGTCTGTCCAGGACTGAGAGGTTTTCTGGGACCCCGAACTCTCAGGTGCTGAATCTGGGAGGGTCTGGGCAAACCAGAATGACGATCACCTGCAAAGAAGAACAAGACAGCCTCTACCTCCAACGAACATAAGAAACTGTCACCCCTCCCTCACCCCACAATGAGGAGGCTGGTCAGCCCCAGTGGATACAGTGCAGTCACTGAAGAAAGAGCCCAAGCTTCCCAGCAGAAGTCCAGGAAGTATCAGGGTTCAGGAGCACCGTGTCCTCCAACAGCAGGTGTGGAAAAGGGTCAAAAGTGCTCAATTGCTGCAGTGTGGCCCTGCTCTTCAACCCACCATTATCTGACACTTCTTACCACACTTTAATTCCTCTGAGCCTCACCCACCTCCTTGCAGCAGATGCTGGATAACGATCAACTCTTCGTGAACTCCCACCAACCTCGAGTGTGTGCAACCTAACAAAGCACACATCTCTCACCCACCGCCCTGGGGCCTCTCTGTTGGCCCAGGAAGCCCTTGCCTTACGCTCTGCCTTCCAGGCAACCCCAGGCGGAGAGTAGTGTTTCATTTTCTGGAGAAAGTAAATCGAGATGCTCTGGAACCTGGAAGCTTGAAGAACTGGCACCGAACCCATGGTCAACTCACTAAAGGGAATATGGATCAAAAAGAATATGGAATTGGGTCTGTGTTTTCCATGGAAACATCTCTAGTCTGAGTCTGGAAGTGTTTCTACTCAGAGCGGAGGAGACAGAGGCAGTTTGGCCGGCTGCCTCGGCGCCGTGCCCCTCCCCCTACAGAAGGCGGGGGCGTGGGGGGGAGGGGTAACTCTTTCTCACTAAACATCAAAGTCATCTTGACTGTCATTTCTGGAAAGGGTCTCTTGAACCTCCCTTAGTTGAGATCAGTTCGGCAGGGCCTTTCACTTGAAGGAAGTGGTTGAATCTTGTCCTCGCTGGTGCTCAGAAGGACTCGCCCCGCTTTCGTGTACTGAGTGCACCTCGTGGATTTCTAGCAGGGTGACTTTCCGGAAAGTGAAATTTTTATGTTTTGGCTTTTACGAGGTGACATAGAAATAAATTACATAACGTATTTAAAAACAAAACAAGCTGACAGTAACAACAAGGGGAAAACAGCAAGCAGGCAGGCCCACCTGGAACAGGACGAGAGGCTGACAAGACAAGGGGCGGGAGTGCGCCCGGCCTGGGCCACTGTGTCCCCACGGGATCACCTGGTCGCCCCGGGCCTGACCTCCCCCATGAAGGCCAGGACAGCGTCCGCCCGGCAGAGCCTGCCACCTGCATGCTGGAGCCGCAGGTCCCCAGCCCTGCCTGCGCATCTTGGAGCCCACCCCCCGGACGAGGTCCCTGCTCCGTCAGAGAGAACTCAGGCTGCGAAAGATGCTCATTCTCCGCTCGGCCACTAACGCCCCAACTGCCCCCCTGGCTCTCAGCTCCCCAGTGGAAAGCCCTGTGCAAGTTCAGGCTGATCAGGCGGAGGCATCCCACCTGAACACTCCTGGGAGCGTTTCTGTCCCCTCCAGGCCCAGTGAGTGCCAACATCGCCAGGGCGGCCTGCACGGGGACGTGATCCACATCAGCCAGGACCGCCCGTCTTCCACCTGCACTAGAAGGTCTGCTGGGACCTCGGGGACCAGGAGCAGCTTCTGAGATGCTTCGAGGTCTAAGACCTCCATGGGCATCCTGCGAGGGCATGGAGGAGGTAGAAGCGCCGGGAGTTAGTGAAGAATTAATAAAGCTCAGGTCTTAACAAAAATGAAAAACTCCTCTTCCTCCACATCCCATCTGGTGGAAGTGAGTAAGTGGCCTGTTGTCATCAGTTAGTATTTTTTGTTCCACTCTTTCATCCGGCACAAAAGATGTACACAGCGTGGGAAAGATTCAGAGCATTTGGGGAGCCAGTAGCATGGCTACTTTCGTTGTTCCCACATACATGCACACCAACTCCATTGCCCCCTGGCTAAATCTAGCAGGAAACCCCGATCTCCCCAGTCTAAGTCAATGGCTTCTATTCCCTGAACTGTCCCCCAGTCCAGGGGCTTATGCAGACCCCCAAAGTCTGTCCAATATCCTTGTCTAATTCTTACCCAAGAGGATAAGAGCCTCTGGGCTTTCAGTTGGCTGCTGCCACCCCTGCTGCTACCACATAAGCATCACATCCCCAGGCCCAAAAGGTGCTTCTCTCTCTCCCTCCTCCTCTCTCTTTATTGAGGTTGAATGTCTGGGGAGCCATGTTCACTCCCCGTGAGTTAAGAAAGGAAAACCTTCCAAACTAAGAGACCCTAGTCCCAAGGGACTTTCCAGTTCAACGCTGAGCAGAGAGCATCTCATGCCAGAGCAGAGAAAAACAAAACCCAGGTTCAGCCTTCAGCAGGTCATCAGTTACTTTTATCTTGGCCTGGACTGCCTGCTACAGACATCTTTCCTGATGAATTTAATCAAAGACTCTATTTCAAGGCAAAACTCTGAATGTGGACAAGTCATCCTTCCCGGACCTAGGCTTTTTTCTTCCTAGGAATCGGTCCACAAAAACATCTCGTGAGCGATCCTGGGTGCTGGGGACTGAGTGAGGAGCTCTGTGACTAGAAGGAGGTGAATTAGGATTAATAGCAGCTAGAAAAGATTTCTGGAGAATCTAGAGATCTCATACAGTTTCCTCTGCATCTTTCTTCAGCCTCTTGAAAAAGTTATAAAGGCAATTACGAAGAGGATGCTATTAGCAACCAGGAAATTTAAGAGAAGAACATGATGAAATCTGACTTCCCAGAGGAACTGATTACTAATAGCCTTTCAGCTCGGTACATCTCAGATAAGATCCCTAACACCAAGCCTCTCTCCCACTTTATCTTGAAGAGATCGTGTGCCCACTTTGCTCACCGACTTCATTAGAACCAGACAAGCTTTGGATTCAAAATATATCCCCCCTCTTAGAAGGGACTCTTTAAAGGCTTAAGTGCTTTTCAGCTCCCAGAATGACTTTTCTATTATTTCATTTTCTGTCTCACTGAGTATTTCTCACTTACTCAGTTCTCTAACTCCCAAGAAGCATTCTTTTTTTCTTCCTCCTTGGTTTTTCTTCCCTTGTCGGAAAGAAATCTCACTCCCACAGTTGTTCCCTCCGTTTTCTGCAAGAGTTGAGAGTTCTAAAATTATTTCCTTGTATGTGGTGGTGAGGTCTTTTCCACCTCTAATGAAACTTAAGTTCACAGAACTTAAACTATTGTGACAAAATGTAGAGTTTTACTGACTCTTTCCTCATTGGTAAAGTTAACTTAAAAAAAATTTATTGAAGGGCAGTCAGTTTACAATGCTAGTTTCAGGTGTACAGCAAAGTGATTCGATTACACATATACATATATATTTTTTTCTTTTCAGATTCTTTCCCATTATATGTTTTTACAAGAAATTGAATATAGTTCCCTGGTAAGGTTAACTTTATTCTTACGATACATCTTTCAAAACTCTGTTCCAAATTGAGCATAGCTGCACAGAATCAGTGTGTGGAGAGTGAGGGAAGGGCTCGAGGCTCCACAGGAGGGTTTCAAATGCCAAGTATTTGTATCTATTTAGAGAAATATAATTGTGAAATATAAATGTCAAAAAAGTGTATTAATCCAGAAAGATTATGATCACTAACCAGATCAAAATTAGGAGAAGAATGATCATAGGAACACATTACATGAAAGAGACTTTTTCCTTAAATGAAGTTTAGCAATAACCTTTTTTTAGACTCTCCCCTTAAAGAATCTCCCAGAAATTCAGTATGGGGGGTGCTTACGTGGCCCCCAGATATAACCACATCCTTAGAAGGTAATCTTTCAGCCTTACTTCTAACCCCCTCTAAGAATGGGAAAACACCTTTGCCAAAGACATCTTTTCCCTTAGATGTTTGGTTTTCCTGGAATAACTCGGTGCCTTTAAGTATCAGCACATCAGATAACCACTGCCCCCACCCAGAAAGCTGCCTCTCCATCGTCTATAATCATTCCCCATAGTGAGCCAATATTTTTAACCCTAAAACTTGGACTCATTGGTTTCAGCTTTTCCTTCTTACACCACACACATCTCCTGTGTGAAGACAGTGTACTCAGTGACCACCCATCACGTGCCCTCCCTCAAGGTCTTCATTCCCGTACATGAAACATCCCATTTGCCGACAACGTGGCCTAGGGCTTCTAGACCGCTAATTATTCCCAACACCTCCTCATGGACACCCTTCAGGAGTCTCTGTAACTCCTCGAACAGATGATTCCTGGTGAGGAACACAAAATCTAGCAAGACCACTGAGACACTTTCTACAACCCAGCCTGAACCACAGGAGCTTTCTAAGCAAACACATCTGCTCTGTATTCACTGAGCTCCCAGTTGAACCAAATATCCTCTATCCCAAAATGTACCGTGTGACTTAAACACCTAACTTTGCACCTAGACCTCTTACCTTTCTTTATTTTATGTTTACCCCAACGTCCTAGGCTTTTAAAGTTATTTTCGATTTGCTTCTTTATCCAACATGTTAATCATTCTTCCTAACTTTTTAAATTTCTGGGTTTGATTAATATGCCATCAATATATTTTTCTAAATCCATTTATATAAACCATTGAATAGGACAGGATGAAACAGAGTCTTTTGTCATGTCTCTATGGAACTATACCCAGACGGACATCAGTCCAATAATGGGACATCAGTCCCATTCTCTCTGGGACACAGCCGCTCTGGCCCAACTGCTCCATCCTGACCTTCTGAAATAATCACCCCTCTGTACTGTTTCCTTTAAACACTGGAAGAAATAGAAACATTTATCAATGCTACCGAGTTTTTATAGACACACCATCACTTCTCCCCGGTCCTCAAAGCCAGACTGACCTACACAGGGATGGATACGGCCAGGATGGTTATTAATTATGAGTAGCTGGATGAATACATATGGGGATTCTTTTTTGTTCCAGTGTCCTTTGCATGCCCTGTACATGTATCATCCCAGCTGCTCTATACTCCCTACAAAACAAAACAAAACAAACAAACAAACAACATTTTAAAAAAATGGCCTCACCCACTTTTAGTGGGGAGGGTACGGCTCAGTGATAGAGCGCATGCTTAGCGTGCAGGAGGTCCTGGGTTCGATCCCCAGTGCCTCCATTAGAAAACAAAACAAAACAAAACAAAAAATGCTACATGTGTTTGACCCTAAACCAAATTCTGTGTGTCCAAGGGAGCAAAGTTAGAATCAGTGAGTCTAAGTTTCAGGGAGAAAGACCTTGGCTCACTAAGAGGAACGGGTATTGGTCGTTCGGAGGCAGGGTCCTGAGGGAGGCAGTGCTTATTTGGTGCGTTTAGATTTAAAGGCAGTGACTGCCTCCAGGGAAAGGAGACAAGGTTTAGCCCCACTGCCTTTCCTGTCTGTATGTCTCACCCCCATCATCTACTCCACGCCCACAAAAATGCACATCTTCCCCCCAGTTAGCATCCTTGTAGTGTCCAACCCGAATCCTCCAACCAGGAGCACACTCACACTCCAGAACTTTCTTTACTCCACACACATCCAAACTGAGAGGCTACAGGCCATGCAGAACATTCTTCTAAAAGGTGAGTTTATTACTAATATAACCTTATTTATGCATTTGAGTTAAGGTGCTAAGGTTGACGATGCTTAAAACATCAACACACCAATTAATTTTGCGTTTTAACAAAGCTGTCAATGCCCTAAGCCAAAGAAGCGTATATTGTATATTTTGTGAGTTCCTGACACCCACGGATTCCTCCAGTGACACGCAAACCAGCCTTTAAATCATTACCATCCTGCGATGCTGGAAAAGCTGACCTGTGTTTAGGCACGCCTCCCAGGCAGAATCGGTTACCGTATTTATTTTACTTTATGTATTAATGACCAGCCCCTGTAACCTTCTCTAGTTAGAATTAAATAGATGATTTTATTTTACAACCTACCTGGTTAATAAAGAAGTTCCATTTTCTATATACTTAAAGCATCCTCACTGAGAATAAAATCTCAGAAAGATTTCAAAAGCCATACCACCCAAAGCGAGTATCCACAAACACAATGGTGATAATATCACCGAGGCGTCCGAGTGACAGGTCAGGGATGTCAGCTTTCACTGCAAAAGGTCTCAGACACCAACACCAAAGCTGCGTCCCATCCTCACATTACAAAAGCAATCAAATTCTTAAAGCTGTCACAACAATATTTGTTCCTCCAAAAAACAATCGACCGGATCTTGAGTGTTTTATGATACTTTTCATCCCAAATGAAGGAAGGGCTTCTGATTTTGATGCTGCCCGTGAGTCTGCAGCAGTTCCTGACTTGACACTGTTAACACTGACCTTGCTGCTGATCACAGAGGAGTCGGCTGAGAGTTTACCAGACGGGCAGCCTAGCCTCTTCCTAGCCAGCATCCCATACCATTGCCATCTTGACCCCGATGCTGAATTTTCTAAACAATAATGATTTGGCTCTCTGCCATTCAATATAGTTGGATGAGTCTAAGCCCCACTGATAGGTCTTTTTCTTCTCTTCCTTTAGCAATCTGTGTTTCCAGTCTTATGCCACCCTCAGGAATTTTTTTATTACCAAAAAAAAATTGCCTATATAAAGATTTTATAAACTTAGTAAAGATGAATTTTGATACAAAATCAGATTAGCTTAGAGACATATGTAAGAATGTTCACAAGTGCATTTAGTAATATTTGATGCACTTAAAAAACCAGAGTGAGGTGGGGAGCATCTGTGGTGAGATGAACATATGTACCAAGTTTGTTCATTGCTTGTTTGAGTTGGTTGATCTCTCAATATATATACCGGGTAATTACTCAACTTGTAAGTGTTAAATCTGGGGAATCTGCTAAGGGAAGAAGTACAGTAAAGCAGAATAAGTTAGTTAGTATCCAATAATAGAAACTATTTAAAATGTATGGGGAGAGATGTGCCCAACTCAGTTTGTATTACCCTTACTCAGCCCTATGGAAGAAAGCATGGATAGAAATAGCTTTAGTCAACGCCCAAGAATTCACACCCAGGGCATAAGGGAGAGATGACATTTTCATGTCATATTAAAAAATTCTTACTGATAAACTTTGATGCTCACCTATAAATATTCTCTGCATCACGATCAGTTTTGCAAAGAAAGGGGAAAGCCGAGAGTGCATTAAAAGCAGAATGAACAAGATACAGGAGTAAATGTAAGAGCAGTTTGGGGCTTGGTCGGGGGGGTGAGGGGAGGAAAAGTGACATGTGTTTACTTAGTATCACCTTTACTTAACAGAGTGCTGATGTTAAGTGGTGCAAGAAATGCGCCTCCCTTGAAAATCTTCATTTGAACTGTCAGCCACCCAAGAGTTTGGTTTTCAAATACAAATATCAACATACACTGGCAACAACCCCATGGACCCCAAAAACTAATATATAAAGTTTCATTTTATACCTAGAAATTTTTAGGAAACCTGTATCATTTGCCAATGCCGTATGCAGTGATTAGTTACTTTTAAGCTTTATGTAGCCACCCAGAATGTCTCTCTTGTGCAAATGTAATTGTTCTCATAGAGTGTGTGGCTACTTTTCAAGATGCTCTATGAAACCAATCAGTCATGAGAACCTTTATTGGCTGTTTCCTCTTCACAAGCGGGAGGCAGCTGGAAGTCTCTCACTGCCAGATGGAATGGGAACTCTGTGCCCGGGCTAGGTAACACCACCCTGACACCAAGGGACAGAATGGCTTCCAGGAAACTCTCTGAAAGTGGAGAAAAGTGCTCACTCTCCTTATTTTTCTTTTTGAGATGGATCCTATAGAGGACAGCGTATGGAAGTGACATCTTCCAGATTACTGCCCGCAAGGAAGGAATGTCTTTTCAACAGCGCAGATCAGAGTCAGCCAGCCTGCCATCACTTGTGGTCCCACGGTGGCTCACAGCGGCAGCCCCTAACCCGGCTGTTGACTCTGCTAGCCTCCATTTGCCACAATCAAAAGCCAGGGAAGCTCCCCCCAACCCTGGCTCCAGCCTTGGGGTGTCTTTCCTCTGCCACAGTGGCCAAGATAAATGGTGCTGAGGAAGCCAGCCTCTGTCCCCAGCGAGGGCTCTGCCTCTCCTGTGTGGCTC